AAGAGCGGGATGGAGGTACAGTTTAAACTTCTAAAATTCCAAAATGAGTTAATTACAAAAGTAGTCCCTGTAATATTGTCTAATATACAGTTTTTCCCATAAACTTTAGAATAATATTATAATTATATAGTTAAAACTATTTTTTCTTTAAATTAGAGAGAGCTTATAAAATTTAAGGGTGCAATTAGGGGCGTTTACCCAAATATTTACCTGATAAGTGTTTACTGATAGAAGGCAATGCTATAATTTATTTTGATGCGTAAGATTTTAGTACATCAAAACGTGTTGAATGCAACACTTTACTAGGTAAGCGTTTACCTGAGTAAGAGTCGTCATTCTCACCTACTAAGTAAGATTCTACATCCTTCTCGTTGCTCTTAACCGCTAAGATTATTGGCCCATGCCATGTTCATACAACGACGAAATTTATCCGGTAAGCATTTATCAAGTAAGTGTTTAATAAATGGATTATTAGTACCAATTTAATTGTACCGACTAATTACAAATGATAAGTAAAAAAATTTATATCATGTACCAATTAACTCTTATCAGTATCAATTTAATTGATATCAACATTTTTTATTATAACTGATTTTATACCAACTTCAAGTTACATATATAAAAACTTGTCATTTTATGCAAATTTTGAGTGACCCTTTGAACCTGCAAACCAATAGGAGTTTTTAGTTGCAGGTAATAAAGTTTACAAACATTCAAATGCTCGGACATAAAAGTTAAAAGGTAGAATGTTTAATATTCAATACATCAAAATACAAAAAGGTAACAGATGATTAGCAAAGTTGGTACCACAGTATACGACTTTCAGTACCGTGTATCAACCAAGTTTATATATTTGATATGGTATTACCATCCAACTGTAACTGATACCAATTTAATTCGAAGAGGTGATATATATATTGGTTGGTTTGATAATCCCTAAAATCTAATTATTTTGGAAAAAAAAAAATGAGTGATGATATGTGAAATGTGATTATTATGATCTCTAGAGCACACCCAACCACCCTCTTAAAAGTTAAATTTGAATCAACGTTTTATGCCACTATCTTTTGTCCAAATATGATTGTGAAATTCACATGGGATATATGGTTATCATTCAAGCCAAATTTGACAATGACCCTAACATTTGGTAACAAGAATTTTGAATTGGAAAATATATAGTAATATATTACTAGTTGTGTACATGTGTAATGTGACGGGAGCCGTGAATTTTTAACGATTCTGAGGTTTTACTGGTTTTATTAGAGAAGATTTAACGATAATATAAGTTACACTTGGTCTTTACATATTAATACAGTTTGAATAAATAAGAGTTATGGTTTCAATTACAGTCTGTCGATGAAAAAAATTGTATGACGGTTTAAAATCTAATATATTTACAATCCAACATATTTAAATGACTTCACAAATGTGTTCGATTTACACCAAGAGCAAAAAAATAAAGAGATCAAGAGCGAGACTGAGAGTTCTAAAGTAATTGAATGAGATAACTTTTAATAACTCATGGTAAATATCAGTTTGAATTTCATCTTGGGGATGGGGAGAAGACATAGAGGTATGAGAGGGTGAAGACATGAGTGTCAAAAGTATCTTGGGAACATGAAATGAAAAGGTAATAATGTGCATTGGTAAATTGTATTATATGTTATTTTAATTATAAATTAAGAGATTTTAAAACTGAATGCATAAAGTAATAATATTTAATGCATTATGAGTTGTTTTTAAGACTTTTAAGACTTTGTGTATAAATGTATAGTACTTTGTGCATTAAAATTTGTTTTAAAGACTTTTGATAAATCTGGTTTATAAGGTAGTATAGATAAAGTATTCAGGTAAAATTCTTAAAAATCATTTTAAATGCATAAAGTACTATTTAATGATGTATGTTACTTAAAATTCAATATTGTAAGTAAATGGTGTATGAGTACAACTTTTTAAGGTTATATGTTTGAATTCAAGTAACTAACTGATAAAGGTAATCAAATACAGGATAATCATCTCATTTTRAATATAAATAATCTATAATATAATTAAGATGACTACTAGGTGGGTTTCACGTGAGACGAACTTTTTTTGTAAAACCCGTGATACCATATTTTTATACTTGAAATTTCACAGGAAAACGTAGTGAATATAAAAAAAAATCTTTGAACCTTCTCAGTGGTTTGTTGTGAAGTTCACGTTTAAAAAAGTGGTCTTTGAGGTTTCACAAAAACGGTATGGTCTCACATGATTCCAAGTCATTATTAAGTTTTAACAGAATACTTAACTATTGTCTGCATAAAAAGTTATATCATTGAACTTACAATAAATTAATTCATTACTAAACCAAAATTAAATTATAATAAAAAGATTGAACTGAAAATTAAATTTATAAAAATATTATATTATTAAACCTAAAATAAGTTACTTTGTTATTAAATCTAAGTTAAATTTTACTAAAAATTATACAAAAAAATGAGAATTTTTAGATTGTTAATTTGATACTAACATTGATATAAATTTTAATGGGTCTTTAAATTTATATTTTATTCAAATATAAAAATATTATCGTTTTCTCAAACCATACAAAACCATATTATAAAAGAATGTATTCAAAAATCAAAATGCATCTCATTGTATTATGTGAGTACTCTTCTAGTAAATTATAAATAATAATGCAATAGTGATTGAGTAGGATACATGGAGACAAAAATAGTGCATGTAATGCAAAATCATATTGATTTGGTACAGGTAATATACATATTGGTAGGTGGAGGTTTAAATGATAATACTTTCAATTTACGAGAACATCCTAATCACGTATGATAATACACGTGAGGGGACCATGCGGACGTCATGCCCTGTGACCTATGTCGCACCAAAGGTCGTCTGCGTATTTGATTTAGTATCAAATTTGATATACTATAGTTATTGGTAGCCCGCTACTTGAGACTTATAAGGAGTTAACAATTCTCACATTCTATCAATGTGAGACGAGTTGTTACAATTTGACCCGCAACCTATATCATGCCATAGGTTGTCTGTGACTCTAATTTATTATCACATATGTATCATATGTGATGGAATGTAATATCACATGCTATTAACTGCATTCTCGTATTTTCATAAAATGAACGTGTTATCGCTTGAACATTCTCCCAAATTAGTATTTTGTAAACGTCATATCCCTTTCAGTAGTCCTGGATTGGGTTGGTGGTGAACTGATTATGGGTTCAAAACGAATAATGCCATTGTGGATGCCACTCAACATAAACAGACCATATGATAGTTTAACTGATTTGCATTTAATATACATGTTTACAATTGACTTTTCTCTTGGTAAACGACATATATGAGCTAAATATGGATTAAGACATGCTTGTTTCAATGTGAACATCTTAAAGCATAGACATTAATTATAAAATATGAGAAATTTTCAAAAAGGGGAAGCAATAACTACTTATTAAACTATATCTATATTATATTATAAAATATTTGACAAAAACTCTTAAAAATATTCTTTATGCATAAAGTACTATTGATACATATTACTTAAAATTCAAGGTTACAAGTAAATTGTGTGTACGTACAACTTATTAAAGCATAATTTTTGAATTTATGTAACTAACTATATATAAACATAATAAAATACGGGATATACATTTCATATTGGATATTAAAAATATAAAATATAACTAAAATAATCATTAGTTATAATAAAATACTTAATTATTATATTTATAAAATTTATATTATTAAACAATAAATATATTATTATTTCGTTATTAAATCTAAATTAAATTATAAATAAAATATTGAATTAAAGAAATTACACAAAAATCCAGAACTTTAAATAGTAAACCTGATACTAATATCGATAGTTTTTTCCTAAATTTTATGATATATTTAAATTTATATTTTATTCAAAAATAAAAATATTATCGCTTTCTCAAAACCACTAAAAACCGTATTATATCGACATGGATAAATAATAAAACGAAATATCAAAATTAAGATATATCTCGTTATATTAAATATGTAAAAGAAAATAATATTTGCCTAAGTAAATTACAAAAGTACCCCTTGAGCATATATCAATAGACAAATTTAGTAGTTCGGTTTCTAATTTGTGTGTTTGTCTAGAAACAACAAATTGACACATAATACGAAGTAAATTATTTGAAATAACAATGACAGTTTTTTTAACTGACTACTCAAATTACAGATTTGAAAGTTGTTCACTAGTGACGTTTAAAAAAACCGTTGGATCGTTTAAACCGGTCGAATCAAATTAAACCGACCGTTTTTTGCTGTTGGGGCGGTCTGATGGTCCGGTCTGGACTGAAAAATAGTCAAACCGTTCAGTTTAGTCTGCCTTGTTGTTTGAAAGTTCTTTTTGAGCGGTTTAGATTGAACCGATCGCCAAAAAATAAACATATATTAATTATATTTAATTTTCATGTTATGACACAATTAAAAAGAGTTCGTCCAAGACATCGTATTTTTAGTTTTCAATTCTCAATTGACCGCATCATCTAAATTGACAAAATTTCAAATTCCATCAAAAACCAAATTCCAAATTGTCATTCGACTTAGGGGCCGTTTACCAAACGCTTACCCGGGTAAACACTTACCAAGTCACGTTACCTTACCGTATGAATATGACAATGACAAAAAAATTTACCCGGTAAGAGCGAGACAAATAACAAGAGTCTTACCCGGTAAGAGCGAGACAAAGAACAAGAGTCTTACCCGGTAAGTGAAGGCGACAACTCTTACCATGGTAAGAGCTTATCGGGTAAATTATTGCATACGGTGCTGTTTTCGTGAAGTAAAATCTTACCCGATAAGTAAGTAAAT